CCTGTCCGCAGGTAAAGCCCGTGTGATAAACGCTCCAGTAACCGCCGGTGACCGTATGCGTGGTCAGGGTAGGCCCACCCGCTATCTGCACAGTAACCGTTGCACCCAGTACCGGCGGGGTCCCTGCAAGGTTGAGGCCGCTATAGGTTGCATAACCACTGATGCTGGCCGCTGTTGCCGGGCATGATTGGGTAACGGCATTGCTGGTAACAAGGATGGTGCCCGGTAAGGTAAAGTTGCCCACGATAACCGGACGGATCGCAAAGTTGTTAAGCGGGTTGTTTTCACCCAGGCTATTAGGTGTATCTATCCAAACCTTGATGGGATAGAAGCCATCTACAGGGAATGATAGCACCTGTGTTACCGTCACTGTTGTATTGGCCGCCATAAAAGGCACTACCATGCTGGTCAGGTAAATACTGTCTTTGTAAAAACTCACAGGTACATTATTGGCGCTATAGGGTGAGCCATTATGCAGTACCGCAGATACCGTGAACTGTTGGCCTACAGCCGGGTTGCTGTTGCTGAACGTAATGTCGTTGGCATAGATGCTGAGGTCTAATGCCTGGTTGGTTACATGCGGACCGCTTACATAATTAGCAGGCGCTGTTGTGGCGGTATTGCCAAGAGAATCCCGCGCAAAAAAGCGATAGCCATAAGTATTGCCGTTTGGCAAATTGGTGGTATAAGAAAATACTTCACCTGCCTGCCAGTTGCTGCCATTACCAGTTGCACTCATGCTGAACAAGCCTTCTCCCGCATCTATAAAATCGCCATCGGCATTGAGGTCGATACCCACTTTAGGATATCCCTGCTGTGGTGCGATATTATTCGGGTGTTTATAAACAATGCGATAGGTAAAGTCTCCTGCAATACCTACGGGCTTATCAATGCCGGAGTTGCCGTTATAAGGTGCTGCGCTTACATATTGCAAGCTGGGTGGGGTGCCTGCCACATAACCGCTGCCGCTCAGGTTCAGGAGCAGTGATGAAAGTCCGGCATTAGCTGCCGTTAAAGTCAGCCCTGCGGTATAGTTTTGAAT